TAAAATTACGAGAATAAAGTTGTAAAATTACGAGAATAAAGTCATAAAATTATGAGAATAAAGTTGTAAAATTACGAGAATAAAGTTGTAAAATTACGAGAATAAAGTCATAAAATTATGAGAATAAAGTTGTAAAATTACGAGAATAAAGTTGTAAAATTACGAGAATAATGTCGCAAAATTACGAGAATAAAGTTGTAACATTACGAGAATAAGGTCATAAAATTACGAGAATAAAGTCGTAACATAATTAATTTAAAGTTGTAAAATTACGAGAATGAAGTCTTAACATTACGAGAATAAAGTCGTAAAATTACGAGAATAAAGTCGTAACATAATGAGAATAAAGTCGGAATATTACGAGAAAAAAGTTGCAATGAGAATAGTCATGAAATTATGAGAATAAAGTTGTAATATTAAGAGAATAAAGTTGTAATATTAAGAGAATAAAGTCCTAAAATTACACAAACGGGTGTTTTTGACAGCTCCTACAAGTAGCTAACCTGACAACAGCCAGATGCATGTCTCGCTCCGCCCAGAGCTAGGCGGAGTGAGACATGCATCTGGCTGTTGTCAGGTTAACAAGTAGCACTTTCTTCACTAAAATGAGGAATGTCGAGCCTCATGTGAAGTTATACTCTGGCTCTTGTTTGACAAATAAATTGGGCGGTAGGTCAAAGTGGACTCAGGTTGCTGATTGGGCCCTGTCCTGCGTTGTGACCAATGAGGTGACAACATATATGTAACAATCCAGAATACCCTCATCCTCATAAGAATTTTTTTCGTTTTATTTTGCACTTCTAGATGGTCAGGGGATGTGTATATTTTTTTTCAAAGTTAATTGTTTTTGATGAAACCTTTGCAGCTATGACCTTAAAAACTTGTCTGACTGTAGATTTAGCAACATATGCACACTAAGCATTCCACGTGAGGATGACTACAGAACCAATTTGGCTGCTATAAAACCAGAGTTTGGAGGATTCTCCAAGCTTTTGTTTCTTGTTGAGGTGCACATTTTGACCCATCATAGCAGAAACCACCTCTGGATGTCTGAAATCCATGCAGCTGAACTTCCCTCTGGAACAAATGATGTGAAATGTTGGTGTGGACCTTACAGGCTGGTTCATGCCTCAAACATCAGCACAGACCTTCAGGCGCTCTCCTGTTACAGGCTGTTATTAGCTTTCAAATCCAGTGGAGTCACTGCCAGGATGTGGCATAAAACTTCCTTTATTTTTAGGCTTTTTTTTAAGCATACTAAAGATTCTTTCAGCTTTTAGTAGTTTTTTTCATAATGTGGAAGATTCTGAGGTAAATATTTATTTTGCATTACATTTAGGAAGCAAAGGCCTCTGCTTGCAGAATGTTAACATCACTGGTAAAAAAGCAAGGAATAAAGATTATTATTATTTATGATTTCTATTTAGGATGTTTACAGATATAAAAAAGTTAGAATTATTCAAAATATAATTTTAAGGCAAATTTTTAAACTAATGATCTGAATAGAGCTGTGATGTTAACGAGCTTCCAGATTTTAATGAGCTGCTGTAGCCGACTTACTGTAAACAAAGTCAAAAACTGCTTGAAGAAGCTTATTTTACTCAACAAGAGCAGAAAGATGTTGGTTGTTTCTATCAGCAGGAATGAGGAAGACATTAGAGCAACAGGACAGAACATCACTAATCTAAAACTGCAAAAAAGGGAATCTATGACCAGCAGAAACAGGTTTTACTGTAAGAACTTTGCTGAAAGAAAAAGGGTCATAGTAGAACCTGAACATATTAAAACAAGTTTTTAGTTTCTGAAGAGATGCAGCCTTGGATGACTGGATGGAGGATTGGAGATGAGCCTGAAATGTTGAATGTGTCTTTTGTTTTCTAGGTGGAAAACATGATAAAAGCCGGTCTTCCACTGAGTGCTCCCTTTCAGAGACCCAGTACGGGAAATGTGTGCCGGAACACGGAGACTGTGGAGAAGGACTGAGAGAGGCCACCTGCAAAGATCGCACCGAGAAGCTGCACTGCAGGATCCCCTGCAACTGGAAGAAGGACATCAGTGAGGCTCACACTGACGTCACATCCTCACACAGGGGTCATCTGACTGAGAATCACAGAAAGGGGGAGGGGCTTATCTGCTAACCAGATTAGCTCCACACTAGGACAGAAAACAGATTTTAAAGTAGTTTGATTGCTGAATTTGTTGAGTGAACGAGTCACATTAATTAACTAACTCATCCTGGTACTCAATGTTTAACACGTCAACGAATAAATAATCTGTTAAAGATCCTCTTCATTCTCCTGTATCAAAGCAGGTGATGAGTGATAGATTCTTACTTTGAACATCTAAATTTTAGATTGAATCTTACTTTGAAAATAAAGCCCGTTTATTTTCTATTCATTCGGTAATAATCAGGCATGAACTGATTAATGAGAGGATCAAAGGCTCCATGAGGGATCTGAGCTGGTTCCCATGGCGATTTCAAACATGTCTGGCAAGCAAAGGAGGCCACAGCAGCACTCCTTCATCAGATCAGATCAAACTTTAAGTCCACACTGGCTCATTTTATGTTCCTACTGGAGTACATCTATGTCATCCCATAGATGATAGAGACACCCTGGATGGAAGGGCACAGGAATATTGAGGCCCTGTCCACACGAAGTCAAAACGAACACGAAACGCTGATATTTTCCAAAACGTTTGCCGTAAAGACGGAGACGTAAAATAAATGTGA